CGGCAAATATTTGCAGTGCTGTAACTGACAACAAACTCTTATCTGGAATATATAGAAAGAACTCCTACAAATCAGTTAGAAAAATCCAGATGGGAAGAGACTTGAACAGACACTTGACAAAAGAGGAGCTCCAAATGGCCAATCAACATACGAAACAGTGCACAGCTCCACTGGTTGTCAGAAAAATGCAAATTAAGTCCACAATATGCTACCAGTATACACCTGTCAGAATGGCTAAAATGAAAGACTGATAATACCAAGTGTTGGTAAGGATATGGCACATCAGAACCCTCATGCACTGCTGGAGGGAATGCCAAATGACAAACAACTGACATTATCTACTAAAGCTACCATACATGTACCACATTCCCAGCAAGGCTGCTTCTAGAAACTCACCCAACATCAGTGCATACATTTGTGCATCAAAGGACACATATGAGAATGTTCACAGTAGCACTAGCCGTTATAGTCCCAAACTGGGAATCGCCCCAATGTGCTTCAACAGGAAGGTGGATAAACAAATTGTGGTGTATTCATTAGATGGAACAACACTCAGCAAAACATCAGTTACGGCCTCACACCTCAACAGGGACGAATGGCACAGGCAAAGGGAGCTAGACACAGACAGCGTCTGCTCTACAATTCCATCTTCGTAAAGTGCAAAACCAGGCAGACCAATGCATGGTGTGAGAAAGCAAGGCTGTCTGGGGAGGTAGGGGAGGAGAGGGGCTGATATAGAAAACTGTCGAGGGTGTTCTGTCTCCTGACCGAGTGGTGGTTACCTGGGCGTGTTCACTTTGGGTTAATCCACCCAGCTGCACTCTTATCGGCTGCACACATTCCTGCGTACAATTCATATCTAAGGAAACATTGACGATATCCCATTTATGCCAGCCAGGTTCCATCACAGAAGCAGGACTCGCAGCTGCGGATCTGGCTCTGTAGGCTTTGCAAGTGTGTGGTCTTGATCTTGATCTTGAAAGACACGTGGCTGGAAGTCAGAAAGGGGAGATGGCTGTGAGGTGGGCGGGGTCAAGAGCTGGCCAGAACCCAAGCACAGGCTGGAGCCCACAAGGCTGGACTGGAACCCTGGTTCTTGTCACTGTGGATGACGAGGGCTTCCTGCAGAAGTTGGGACCCTTCAGCTTGGGCACAGTGGCTCACAACTGTAATCTCAGTATTTTGGGGGGTTGAGGCGGGAGGATCGCTTGAGGCCAGCCTGGGCAACACAGTGAGACCCTGTCTGTACAAAAAATAAAAAAAGTTAGTCGGGTGTAGTGGCACGTGCCTGTAGTCCTGGCTATTCGGGAGGCTGAGGTGGGAGTTTCGCTTGAGCCCAGGAGTTCGAGGCTGCAGTGAGTTATGATCGCACTACTGCACTCCAGCCTGGGTGACAGAGCAAGACTCCATCTCTAAAAAAAAAAATAAATATAATAATAATAATTTTATAAAAAGAAGCTGGGACCCTTCCTCGCACACCTGGCCCAGGTGGCGGCATAGCTGAGGGTGGCTCCAGGGACAGCTGCAGGCCCGGGCCCTGTCTGTGCCGAGCACCTGAGCCAGCAGACGAGCGCCAGGAGAGTGAGCTTGTCTCGCCTGCTGCTTCGCTTCCGCAAATCTCGCAGGGGGATCTCTGTGCGGCTCATCCCAACCGGAAACATGCAGAGGAGGGAATTCGGGCAGATGCCACGCAGGCCGGCCACGTTGGTGCAGGCCCTATGACCTTTTCCATCTATCTGGCAAACAGCAAACAATGAAGGCTCCGTATGTCAACGAGCACGTGGGGATCAAGGCTCCCTTGCGGGTCGGTGGCGGCGTCCACTGGTGCAACCCCAGGAGGAAATGCGTGTGCCCTTGAGCCAGCCAATCTACGCGTGGGAATTTCTTTCCCGGGTAAACCTGAACTTGCCCACAAAGTACAACCATGTTTAAAGAAGCAAAAGACTGCACAACTTCAACGTCCACCCACTGGGGACCGGCTACGTAAATTGTCATTGAGAGTTTTCACCCCGTGCGCGATTTATTCCCAACACTAGGGAACCATGTAGAGGGCTGTCTTCACACTTCTGCCTCGGGTATCATTAGAGGGGTTGTTGACCTAAAGAAAGACACTGAAGCGAAATTCATATGGAGAGTTTGCTTGGGCCAAGGCTGAGGACAGCAGCGGGGACACACTTCCAGGTTGCCCTGGTGGGAGGTGGGAGGAGAAAGAAGCAAGTGTCCCTCTGCCTGGGAATTGTGCTGGGACCCTGTGGGTGTCTCACCAGCTTCTATTCGATCCCCTGCCCCCAGCTCTTTTGCCAGTGTGTTTTCAAGTCCTTGGGTTACTGTTTCCTCCACCTCGACTGGCACCGCCACGCTGACACTGTGACTTCCATATTTCCCTCATTTCGAACCCTGGTGGGACGGCCACAGGCTCCTGCAGCTGCCCAGCCTCCACGCCCTGGAGCTGCTGAACAGAGACAGTCGGCACCAGCTTGGGACCCTCCACCTTTGTACACGCCCAGCCTGTGTCCTTCTCCCCTGGAAAAGCCCCTGCCATGTGGCGGGGCTTCCCGGCCCGGCCTGCCCCTGGCACTGGGAAGACTGGGGCCAGGGCCACAGACAGGGCACCCTTCCTTCTGCAGGGGAGGGGAAGTGTGGGGGAAGCCCGGGGGGCCCATGCTGGAGGGAGACTGGTGGGGGTGGAGGGGGAGCCTGAGGCAGCCCATACTTTTTTTTTTTAATATTATTTTCTTTTTAGCTTAAATTTGCTGCAGAAGAAGCAGACCATGCCTTGTTCTTAGGGTGAGGTCTGACGCCTTGGCCTGGCAGGGGAGGTCTTCGTTGGCCCCAGCCCCCACCCACCGTTCCGAAGACACACCTGCCCATGTCTTCCTCTGAGCCTTTGCTCAGGCTGTTCCTCTGCCTGGAACATCCTCTCTGACCAGTCAGAGCCTTGAGAATCCACCTGTCTATTCAGCTGTTTCAGGGCTGCCCTTGTCTGGGACACCGTCTGGTGGACCCGCTGAGCTTTGAGGCTGCCCCTGCCCTCCTGGGCCCCCAGTAAACCTCTGCCTGCTCCCGCACGCCCAGGCCCGGACCAGGAAACTCACTCCTGGCCTGGGGTGAGCAAAGCCCGCCTTACCTCATCCGCAGGGAGGAAAGTACCTGCCCAGTGGCCAAGGGACAGGCCCTCAGCCCCACCCTGCCTGCAGCTGCAAGCCTGGAGGGGGGGACCTGGTTAGGTGGGAAGCACTGACCCCGTTCCCCTTCTCTAGTCTCCTTGGTGTCCCCAAACCCTCACTCTTAGCTGTTCCCTCACATTTGCCCCCACTATGCACACTCACCTCCTCCAGAAAGCCCTCAAGACGGCACCTGCCCCTGCCTCCCAGCTCTCCTGATTCTGGCCCAGACCCTTCACCAAGGGCAAGGCTGAGGAGCCTGGACTCCGACCCCGGCCTGATGACCTGCGCAACCTCTCCCACACTCCTGAGGCTGGGGGATGACCGGGCGGCCCTCCCAGGTGAGGGGAGGCAGAGGGGTGGCCCATACGCAGACCTAGGAGGGCAGCGGGTGTGACCCAGCTCCCTGCCCAGCTGCGCGCGGGCTGCCAAGCCCCTCCGCTGTGCTCCTGCCCTCTGCTGCCACCGTGTGGCCACTCCCACCCCCACACCCTGCAGGATTGCTGGTCCCTGGGCACCCGGCGCCAACCTCCAGCCCTGCCCTCCCGGGCACTTTCCCAGTCTGAGATGTAAGGGGCAAATCTGACCCAATCCTGCCCTGCCCTGCCCCCATTCACGGCCCTCTCCACAGAGGAGGACTTTGGGCCTGGTCTGTGTCTCTGTGGCGTCCCCTCCCCACCATACTCAACGCCACAGGAGGGGCAAGTGCTGAGGCAGGCCTCAGTGGCATGCGGTTCGGGCTCTGTGCCCAGCTCTCGGACATTCCTGGGCAAAGGCAGGGACTCAGATGTGGCCCTACCAGTGACTGCGCCCGGCCAAGGTGCTGCTGCTTGCAGGGCAGTGCCAGGGCAGGGTTGGGGACCAGGCCAGCTTGCCAAGGCACAGGCAGTGCTTCCCAAAGAACGCCAGGGCCAGGGGAGAGGCTGGCGCCTGCACAGCGAGGAGGCAGGGGGCAGGGGGCGGCAGACTGGCTGGGCTGGGGCTGCCCTCCTGTCTCCTGGGAGACGGCGGAGCTCTTCACTAACTTGCCCCGCGGCCCGGCCCACCCCAGAAGGGTCACTGTTCTCATCCACTTTACACACGAGGAGAGAGAGGCTGGGGAGGGGCATCGCATCCCGGTGACCTGGGTGAGGATGAACAAGTGGGACTCAGACCCGGGTCACTCTGGGTGCTGTTGGTGGGTGGCCCCATGGGGTGATTGTAGAACTCTCTGGAACCAAGGCGCAGCATGGACACCAGGACACCAGGGAAGGATCACAAGGGGCTTGTTTTCTCCTTATATAGGCAGGGAGGGGTGTTCCTGAGTGACCTTCCAGAAAGGTTAGAATTATGAGCCTGGAGTGCAGAGGGTGGTCTCTCCTCCTGGGGGGATTCGCTCTCTGCTGTGGGGTCCTGAGACCTCACCTCACCCTGAGGCTGGGCCCATCTGGGGTCTCAGACCAAGCCCGGGCATCCAGGACCCAGGCAGCTCTGCTCTGGTCCCCATGGTGGGGCACAGGTCTCAGCGTATCAGGGACCAAGTGTTGGGCTACGGGTAGCGAGGTGTCAGGGGCGGCAGCGCTGGGCTCGGAACTCCAGGGTGTGAAGTCTCAGGTCTGGGGCATCAGAGCCAAAGGCATCTGAGGACAGCACGGAGGGCTGACGGCACAGGCGCTGGGGCACCAGGCCTCCGGCCTCGGGTCTGAGATGACAGAGAAGGACGTTCAAGGCCCAGGTGCCAGGCGTCCAGGTCCAAGTTGCACAGCCCTTGGGGGGTGGGAGCCACAGGACTGGGGTGCATGTTCCGGAGGCCGTGGCTCTCTCCTGGGAGGCAGGGTCTCGGCCGAGCTGTCCCCATCACGGCTGTGAGCCCCAGACGTGCCTGCAACAGAGATGTAGTTCGGAGGGGGCACAGGCCCCACCGGCCGCCCCAGGGTCTTGGGAGAGTGGAGGAGGGCAGCAGGCAGGGGCTGGGCCGGGCGGGGTCTCACATGTTGCCCTTCTGGCGGCACAGCAGCACATAGGCCAGCGCGACTGCGGCCACCACCGTGAGGCCTCCGAAGATGATGCCCAGCAGCACCGCGTAGCTCCGTCCTGGCGAGGGGACAAGAGCGGTGAGGCTGGTCTGGGGCCTCGGGCGTATGGGGCATGGGCAAGTGTGGGGTGGCGGGACAGCCTCACCTGGCTGGCACTCCGGGGTGGGTGTGGACCAGGTGCCATCAGCTTGGCAGGTGCTGGTGTCTGCCCCGGCCAGGCTGTAGCCGTTGTTGCAGTGGAAGCGGACGGTGGAGCCCACCAGATACCTGATGCTATCCTTGTGCCCGTTGAGGGGAGGGGCCAGCCGGCCACAGGACACCACTGGGGCGGGGGCAGAGTGCAGACAACAGCCCTGAGCCGCCGGCCACCGCCCATAGCCGGCTGGCTCGGGAGTCCCGTCCCAGGGTAGGGTGCCCACCCCCGTGCCCCCACGCCCCTGCCTGCCCTCACCCGGCTGCAGGCTCTGCACACGACGCTGGTGCAGCTGGTGGGCCACCCACGTGGCGTTGCCTGTGCTCAGGCTCCCGGTGGCCGCCACATCGAAGTTGCAGAAGGGATCATCCCCGCATAGTTCAGCCGCCTCATGTGCCTGGCCGGGGCTGAGGGTGGCTTCACCGGGGAAGAGGGGCTCGAAGGTGGGGTCGTGCCTGGGTTGGTACAGGAAGTTGTGCCTCAAGAACCAGGAGTCATAGGTGAGCAGGGAGGAGGCGTTGTGCACGGCCCCTGGGGAGACAGGCAGGCCTGGCTGGGCGTGGTGGCCGAGGGCCCATGGACCCCTCCCGTGCCGCACTGTCTCCGGGCCCCACCCTCTGCACCCAGCACACGCCACGGGGTCACTTACAGCTGGCCCCATACTGGAACAGATCCCGGGGACTGGCGCTTGGGGGCAGAACCTCCCCGCTGCGAAGGGTGAAGTCGTCGGTGGGGTCGTTATTGAGCGTCCCGAGGAGGCCGAGGGTGTGGGTGAGGAACTTCTCGGGCAGCAGGACGGACACACTCAGGAATGGGCCCTGAATGCCGACCTCCAGGCCGGCCCCCGAAGCCAGCATGACTGATACCTTGTCCTCCGTAGCCACCGACAGGAACATGCCTGGGCGCAGGTAAGGATGGGTCAGGGTCACGCCCCAGACACTGCGCCCTGCCCTCCTGCAGCCCCAGGACAGGGTGGTCGGCACCCACGGGCACTTGCAGGGGAGGGGGGCATCTCCGGGGCCAGCCCTGCTGACCGTGACACTCTACCACCCTGGCCCACGCTTGCGCCAGAACCCCCGCGTGTGCCCGCGGTGCCAGCCCATGCAGCGAGGCCCCAGGCTGAGGCTGCCTGTGGGGTCTGGCCCGACTGGGTTGCAGCAGCCACGTCTGCCTTGGCCCTTCCTGAGGGTCTCTGCACCCTCAGCGCTGACAGGCCCATCCCAGGTCCCCCGTGCCAACCGGGATCCATGTCATTTGTTCAGTTCCCTGAGGCAAGGGGGTCGATGTAGAGCTGCCACACTTCCGAGTGGCGTCCTTAACCGTACAGGCTGTGTCCTTGCGGTGGCTTTTGAGTGCAGGAGTGGTGCCACACAGCCCAGTGGTGAGAGAGCTGCCAGGGCCAGTGCCCTTCATACGGCTCCCGGGTTCCTCTGGGCCACAGGGAGGACACATCCCACAGTCCCAGCCTCTCAGGCCTCTGACCGGGCCAGTGGGTACACCGTGGACACCTCCATGGGTGTGTTGGCCCGAGTCACACCTCTGGCTGTGCTCCTGCCACCTTTGGCCTGGGACCACATCTGGCCTAAGACAGCCATAGGGGGAGGAGCACGATTCACCGGCCGGCACAGCATGGTGAATCTCTGAGCCCCCTCTGTCTTTGCATCTGAGCCCCGGGCAGCACCCCAGCTCTGGCCAGGGCTGGGGAGCGGCGTGGAGGCCCAGGGCCGCCTCCTGGTCCCCGGGCGGGAGGGGAAGGAGGCCTGGCCCGGCTGGATGGCTCACCCTTCAGGTCCATCCAGCTCTGCTCGGCAAAGCTGAGCACCTCTTGGTTCAGCAGCACCTCCAGGGCCCCGGCCTTGTGGGCCAGCCGGACCTCCACCACGTCCGAGTCGTCCTCCTGGACGGCCACAGCGGTCAGCCCCGTGCCGCGGGTCTGCGTGCCTGTGGTGGTGGGTGCGGAATGGCCCCGCTTGGCTCCAGCCTCCCGCCTGCATGACCCAGCGCCACCCCAAGCCCCGGGCCGGCCTCACCGTTGGCTGTCAGCCCGGGCTGGGCCCGCGCCTGCACCCTCAGGTCGGTCAGCACCGCCTCCAGCAGCACGTACTCGCCCCGCCCGTTGAACGTGAACTTAGTGCCATCGAAGGTGACGAAGTGCGGGTCTCCAAAGGCGGAGGCTGGGGCGAGAGCAGGGGGTCAGGCGGGGCCCACCTCGGCCTGGCCGGCCGCACCCTCCCCAGGCGCTCGGCCGGCACCCACCCAGGTGCGGGGGCCGGTAGGTGCGGCAGTCGTTCGAGGGCCGGCGCTGCATGTAGCGGGAGCAGTCAGGCGCCCACAGGCAGCAGTAATAGAAGCTGAGGACGTCGTAGAGCCAGTGGGACATGCCGGGCACGCGGGGCGGCGTGCGGAACGGGGGTGCGCCCCAGTCGTGGCCGCGGTCGGGGGTGCTGCCGCTGCTTGAGTCAGCGGTCAGGAGCTGGGTGCCGTCCGCCGTGTAGCAGCACTGCTGGCCAGCGCCGTACCGGGGGCTGGGGGCGCCGGCAGGTCAGGGCAGCCTTTGGGAGCCCGGCCTGGCCCCGGCCCCCAGCCCCCGGCCGCGGCTCACCTGGCCTGCACGGAGCGCACACAGTGCACGGCCCCTGGGTGGTAGGTGCACACGCTGCCCTGCTCTATGTCACAGCCGTAGTCCGTCTGCAGAGCAGCCAGTGGCTGTCACCCGCCGGCCTCAGGTTCTGCCTTCCCCTCCATGAAGCCAACCCCACAGGGGGCTCAGACCCCAGCCCCACCTCCCAGGGCCTCATTGGGGGAGGCTGCCCCCTCCCCATCCCCTCCCTGCGGAGCTCACGTGGAAGCGGCCGGAGTCGGCCCGGGCCTGCTCCAGGGTGCAGGGGCAGTCGGGCAGCTCCTCCAGGAAGTCAGGCATCTGGTCCTCCAGCTTCTCCCAGGCCCCACACTGAGCAAGAGCCCAGGCCACGGGGTCCTCCCGGAAGTCATCGCCCAGGTGCCAGGCCAACGCGTGATCGTTGGTCCAGAGTGCCTGCACGTCCCTGTGGCAGCGACCATGCACGAGCTGGGGGCCGGGCCAGGCCACCCCACTGTCCCCACCCCCGACTGGGCTTCCTGGGCAAGCAGGACAGTCTGAAAGCGGTCAGGCCCCAGACTGTCCTCTGCGCCCTGGCCCTTACTTCTGCCCTGGGTAGTTCTTGCTGTCGATGATCCGGAGTGCACCCACTTTCCACTCCTGGTAGTTGGGGAGTGCAGGTTCCGGGGTGAAGGTGAAGAAGCCAGAGTTGGGGATGTTTGAGGCCAGGGGGTACAGGTATGACCACTTCGCTGTCCACTCCCCAGAGTATGGCTTCCCTGAGGGGAGGGAACCCTAGTTAGCCCCGGCGCCCCACTCAGGACCCTTGGGGCAGGAGGGGTGTTCGGCACCTGGAGCAACCTGACAGATGTGTTCGGATGGGTGGACAGACAGACAGGTGGTCCCCATAGGAGGACCCTGGCTTAGGCGACCACCCACCTCCCCCCACACTCCCTGTCCCTGCTCAAGGCTGGGCCCAGGGCCGTGCCAGCCATCCAGGGGCTCAGAGAGGACAGGGTGGGACACTCTTCTGTGTCCACCACAAGCCTCTTCCCGAGGGGCCGGGTCCCAACCACTGCCCCCCACTCCTCTACCTGCTCCTTCTTAATCCTGACCCCCAATCCCTGCCCAGAGCTCTCTTCCCTCCTCACCCCCACCTGGAACCCCCGACCCCATCCCCCACACACCCGGGACCCCCTTTTCCCATGGAAAGCCCCCAAGGCTACCACAGCCCTCGGCTGGCCTCACCCGTCTCCTCGTAGCCCCACAGCTCGATGGTGACGGCCTGCGCGGGCAGTGCTGAGCTGTTCCAGGTCAGGCTCAGGTTGCCCGCGGCGTCTTGCGTGCCGTAGTATTGCCAGCGGGTCTCATTCACCAGGTGGCTCTTCTCTGTTTCCGACACTTTGTTGGGGTGCACTGGGTAGGGGGTGAGAGGCGAGTGAAGGCCTGGGGCCCAGGGTGTGCAGGGGAGAAGGCCGGAAGGCTCTGGGGGCTGTGGGAGCCTGCCAAGGACAGAGCGTCACAGCCACTGGGTGGGCTCCCCAGACCCTTGTGGCAGAAAAGGACGTGGATTCCAGAGAGATTGTCCGTCCTCCACCGCCCAGGCCTCTGGCCCAGCTGAGCAGGCAGGCACTGGCCCCTTGTGGGGGACCCCGCAGATCCCACTTACTCTGGCTGGGACTCGTGTCAGGGTGCCGGGGGTGAGCCAATGCTCTGCAGGAACCCTCGCCCCTGGGGGAGGTGGGCAGGCTGCCCAAAGGACTGGTTCAGCCAGGGCGGCAGGGTGCGGGCGGGCCAGGTGTTGGTGTGCATAGATTAGTGCTGGGGAAGGTCCCCGTGCGCGCAGGCTGAGGGCTCACCTGCCAGCCAGGTGCCTGCGTGAGGGAAGGAGCGGCCATTGTCCAGCGAGACAGTGAAGGGGATGCGGCCGCTCTCGTAGAGCAGGGGTGACACGCAATGCACCTGCCCGGAGAAGTCCACGTGGCCGATGGTCTCGATGCTCTCCTTAAACCTGTGGGGGCAGAGGTGGCATGGGGAGCCCATCCAGCTGGCTGTCCCTGTGCCCTCCTGCCTGTCCTGGGTCTGAGGGGTTTACTCAGCCAGCCAGGGATCTGGGCCCCCAGCATGCAGGGGGAGGCGGCGTGGGGACCCTCAGGCCTCCCACCTGCAGATTACGCCTACGCCGTCTGTGCGGCTGGACGACTTGAGCTTCTGCAGCACGAAGTCCTTGCCACCCATCAGGGAGCCTGAGTAGGGCGAGATCTCCAAGCAGAAGTCCCGGAAATCTGAGCAGCAAGTGCTGAGGCCAGAGCAGGTCGGGTGGCAGGAGCACGGCCCTTCCAGGTGCCCACAGCGCAGGGAGCAGCTCTCCTGGGCATCTGGGGAAGAGGCCCCAGAGCACTTGGCTGGGCGGGTGCTGGGCAACCGCCCCGCGTGCAGGGCTCATCTCTCTTTCCCCGCAACCCATTAGAGAGCAGCGTCCCCAGGAGAATGATGGCCGGGTCCAGGAATCACTCTGGCCACCACGCGGACACAGTGGAAAAACCACAGGGCCCGTGGGGATAGGGTAAATCTTAGCACAGATGATCTGGCTAGAATGCAGCGAGGCCTCCAAACATCCAGCCTTGTCGGAGCCTCCAGGGCATGACTGACCCTCAGCCACCACGTCCTATATCCCACATGGCGTGGTGGGGTCCTCAGAGGGCCACAGCTGCCTGAGCCCTTGACCTGGGTGTGGGGACCTCCCTTGACTCCTTGAGAAGTCTGTGGGCGTGAGCAGGGCAGGCCCCCCTTTCTCGCCTGGGCTGGGGGCCCACTGGAGGCCGGGTAGGGAATGGTGCCAGGATGAATGTGACCCGTCTCACTTGCCCAGAGGCCGAAATTGAGAGCCCCACCCTTGGAGGAGGAGGCCAGGGGTGCTCCCTTCCTTTTCAGGGAGAGAAAGAACAATTCTAGCAGGGGCCCAGCCTCGGAAAGAGGAGCCGTCTCCCGTTGGCTGCATTGTTGGAGCTGGCAGGTAGGACGGGATGGAGGCCTGGCTGGGGTGGGTGCAGGCACCCTGTGGGATGGCACATTCCACCTGGCCCTTCCCCATCCCCCCCAAATGAGGCCGTCAAGGGCCAGGCCTGGGCCTGAGCCGCCTGCTGGCCCCACTTCACTAAGTGCCGTGCCTGGCACTCAAGAGCAACAATAAATATTTATTGGCCAAGGATGTGATGGCTGGCTCACCTGGGATGTGGGGAGGAGGCTGAGAGATGCCACAAACCAGATAAGTGGCAGGAGGGTGATGGGAATGGGGTGGGGTTACAAGCGAGATAAGTGACAGGAGGGTGATAGGAATGGGGTGGGGCTGGAGGGCAGGAGGCAGCCCAGGGCCCGGGTCCCTGCTCTGGGGCTCTGGAGTTAGGGGTTTCCTAGACACCCACAGTCCTAGCTCCCTGTCCTAATCACACCCTCTGTCGGGGCGCAGGGTGCAGGCTGAGGGCTCTGTGGGTCTCCCCTGCTTTCCTCTCTGCTCCCAGACGGTGTAGGGTGGGCAGGTCCAGACCTTCCATCCCCGCCAGCAGCCCCTTGACCACGGATCCTCTGAATGTCTTCCCACCGCCCCTAGAGCAGCCACAGATGGCCTGACAGATGGACAGAGGCTGGGCCTAGAGGGGCGTCTGCCCTGGCCTGGCTGCGGCAGGCAGATGGACAGACAGATGGGCAGAAGGGCAGGGTGGGGGCATACCTGCTGTGGGCCCAGGGCCCCGGCCAGGGGCTGTCGCCAGCAGCAGCAGAGCCCAGGGCAGGAGGGCCAGCTTCATGGTGCGACCTGTGTCTGCAGCCAGCAGCGCAGTGGCTCTGAGGCGGCGGGACGAGCTCACTCCTCTCGGCCTGGCCCCGCCCGCCCCGGCTCTGCGGCACCGCCCCGCCCCGCCCCGCCGGTCCCCTCTCAAAGTCCACAGGTGCCTGCGTGGACCAGCAGGGCCGAATGTGCCCCGTTAGCACATTCTTGGTCCGCAGGTCTGGGACTCGGGGGAGGGGGCTGAACCTCGGCCCTGGGACCCTGTGGGAGGGCGAGGGGGCCGGAGCCTGCAGCTGCAGGACCTTTGCCTGGCGGGAGCCGGATGTCCAGAGGCTGCAGCTCAGACCCTGGGGCCGGCCCCGCCCTGTGCGGGGGGCGGGGCTCCCGGAGGGGATGGGATGCTGCAGGGTGGGCAGGGCAGGGCTGTCCTTGCTGTGGCTGGATTCCAGCCCCTGGCCCTGGCATCCACCTCTATCTCTGGCTCTTGCCTTCTAGCAGGGAGGTGGTGCTCCTCATCCCTCCTCTGGTGGAGGCGGGATCTGTTGGGTCAGACACGGGCTGAGCCCCAGGCCGAGCCCCAGGCTGAGGTAGCTCTGCGGGGGATCCTCTCCACAGGGAGGAAGGAGGAAGGGGAGGGGAGGGAGGTGCCCGAGCCTAGCTGGGGCCCTGAGAGGAGATAGGGCCCATCCCTGGGCTCCAGAGACGCCTCCACCCTGCACAGGGGAGTGAGGAGAGGCACAGCTCTCCCAGCCACACCCGACCCTGTGTTGTCACTCGTTGTCACTCATGGAGTTTGCATAATCTTTTTAGTGTTCCCCTCCCCTCCTGTTGTGCAGATGAGGAAACAAGCCCAGGATGGCAGGGCCAAAGTCACAAGGAGACGTAGGCAGGGCACCCACCCACAGTTAGGGAGGGCGGTGAGGGCCCTCCCACTCAGGCTGGATGTCCCGACAGGCAGGTGGACCTCTGCCAGCTGCAGCTTCCCAAAGTGTCCAAAGGGGGCATGTCACCAACCTCTCAGGGAGCCGGAGCTGGCCCCCTGGCATGAGCTCATGGCTTAGGCCATCTGGGCTGTCACCCGCCTCAGCTTCTGGGGCTGGGTCAGCCCATTGTTCTTGGGCCCTGTTCCCTCTCTAGCCTGGTGGGTGTGCCTGCTGAGAACCACAGGGTGTTGGTGTTGGCAGCTACCTGCGGTGCTCCCACGGGTCCAGCCCCAGAGGGGTGCCTCCTACAGAGGTGTCAGAGGAAGCCCAAAATGGAGGACTTGGAACCTGGGCTCCTGAACTCTCAGAAAGGGCTGCTCCCCTCCCAAAGACATCTGGTGAGAAGGCCCCAAGACCTCCAGCTTCTCAGGGCCCCGGTTGGTTTCCAGAGAGGAAAAAGTCCTGTAAAGGAAAATAAAAATCTCAGGACAATATCCTAACCCCTTAGGCTAAAGGGAAGGTCAAGCTGGAGGCTGAGTCTCTCGCAGCTAACATTGCCCCTCAGCCCCGCTGGGTCTCCAAGGAAAGGTGCAAGGCCCCAGGCATTTGCAAGGACTGCCCCCGCCTCTCATTCATAAGGAAATTCTTTAGTGTCAAGGATCACTGCGGGTCTGCGGGCTGAGCCCAGCTCCTAGAACTGAAGTCTGTTCCATTCCAGAATAATAATGTTGATTACACGTTTTGTCTTCCCAGGTGCAGGACAGGACAGGACCAGTCGTTCTGCCACCTACCCAGGGACATCTACATAATCAATGCTTCCTTCACTCCTTCCTCTTCAGACATTCACCTCATCTTATGTACAGTGTGGGTGTCCTGGGCATTCCCTAAAGTCCCACAAGAATGATCCCAACTGCCTCACTGCCCCCCCTCCGCCCCCCGTTCCTTTTTCTTTCTTTATGCTGTCTCCTTAAATACTGAAGTTCCAGATGCATCTGTGATTGGAGATCTTTGACTCAGTCACTTATCTGGGTCGCTGGGTGCTCAGGGCACCTCCGCAGGTGGGTGCCCCACGTGTGGACACTGAGGTGTTGAGCCAGGGAGAGCCTGTCCTCTGGCCCCAGTCTCGGGGGGGGGGGGGACTCACCCTAGGCCCAGGGCTGAGGGTGCTGGGAAGGAGGGCAGGTGAGGGCCCAAGGTGTCGGGCTCTGGGGAGCCTCCTGCACCTGGAGAAGGAAGGTTGCTGCTTCCCGTTTCTGGCCTGGGCAGCCCTGCCCTGTCTGGAGAGAGGGATGGAAGAGCAGGAGGGGCTGGATGTGCAGTCTGGGGGTCTCCACACCCAGGCCCTGCAGGCAGGGGGTCTCAGCTGAGTAACTGCCGCTGCTCAGCCTCTTAAGGCAAGTTCTGCCAGGACCATCCAGGGCCGCTGCACCTCTGGGTCCAAACAGCCTGGCTGGGGCCCTGGGCATGTGTCCAGCCCACGAGGCCCCCTCTCCATCCTGGACAGAGAGAGCCTGCTCTAGGGGAGGCTCCAGGGGGCAGGCGATGGTCCAGATCACTGGGAGTGGGTGGCAGTAAGGTCAGGTTTGGACCCCTGGAGCCTCAGAGGGCAGGGCCAGCACCACGGCGGCTTGTTTAATGCTCTGTAGTCACGGTCTGAAAATCCTTAATAATTTTTGAATGAGGGGCCTCACCTGTGCATCCTGCACTGGGCCCCGTAGGTTTCATGTGGCTGGTCCTGTCAGGGCGAGTGTTGGGGGAGGTAAGAACTCTCCCTGACGCCTCCTCCCAGCCCCTTAGCACAGACCCTGCAGCCCCCCACCACAGGGAGCCCCAGCTTTGCGGACCAGACACACCTGACGCCCCTTTCCGGCCTGGCTCCAGCTTCCTCAGGGGGGTCTGCCCTGCCTCTTCCCTCACTCCGCTGAGCGCCCCCCAGCCTGCTGGCCTGGCTGGGCCCTGCCCTATGGGAGCTGGAGTGTGGAGGCCCTGGGCCCTTCCCCGGCCACCCCCAAGGGGTGAGCAAAGAAGCAAAAACAACTGTTGAGTCTTTATTAGAAAAGAAACAAACAAAAAAGGGTGTGGGGCAAGCCTGGCCCTGAATGACCCCTTTACTGCGACACGGGCAGAGCCCGGCGCATCCTGGCATCGGGTGTGGATGTGGCCAGCCGGGCTGGCTGTGGGCAAGTTTATAAAGTCAACATTTCATAGAAAAAGATGCTGCCCGGCTGTGCAGACTGAAACCCATCCACCTTCCCGTGGCTGAGACGGGCCGCCCTCCCTCTGGCTCCTCACGGTGCGCACAGCTCGTCCAGGCTGCAGGACGATGCCGGGAGGCAGCGGGCTGGGCGGGCCTGGGGCTGCGTGGGGCGTGGCGTCCCAAGTGGCCTCTGGCCTTGCCCAGGGTCCAGGCTGAGGGGCACTCCAGGCCTGGCCGGTCCCTGGGTGTGCTGTGGGCTCCGGCAACCTGCTCAGATGTCCATGTAGTCGTCGTCCTCGTCCGTCTCACTCTCCAGCGAGGACTCCTGGCTGGACGTCTCCAGGACCTCCAGGGCGGGCTGGCACAGGCTCTCCTTCCTCACGGTGGCGGCCGACTGGGCGGAAAGGATGGCCGACTGCAGACGGGGCAGGGCAGGGCACTGCTCAGGACCTGCCCCAGGCCTCTCCGAACCCTGTGCCCCCGCCCAGCCCCCACTGCACCTGCACTGCAACCTGTGGCTCCTGGCCAGCACCCGAGGTTACCTTCAGCTTCTGCTTGGTCTCCTCCGAGATGCTGCCTTTGGGAGAGAGCAGGGTTGGGGTGGGTGGCGTGACGGTGATCTCAGGCGGGAACTTGGTGGTGGCCGAGGGGATGACCAGCTTTGGCATGTTGGGCAGGAGGCGTGACTTGGCCCGGCTGGGCTCTGCCTTGCCCGAGTGGCCTTCAGGTGGCTGGGCACTCCCACTGCTGGGGACCTTGGAGGTGGTGGCTGTGGGGAAGACATCAGGGGCTGAGCCTCACTCAGAGCCTCCTGAGCACCCGCATACCTTCCCAGCTTAGGCCTCAGTTTCCCCTCTGGAAAACAAAGGGACCAAGAACACCTCCTATCTTCTGCATCAGACTGTGGCACCTTTCCTAGGACATGTGTAGTCTGTGCTGACTGGCAGGCTCCCAGGCTTCTGCCCTGGGCCACTGCGTGGCTCAGGCCTTGCAGGGACCCAACTGTGGCTCTGGGTTGTGGGGTGCTGGGACTGTGACCCCGCCTGGGAGCACTGTGAACTCTGGGTGCCAGGGCCTGGGACACAGGGGGCCCCTTGAACCTTCCCAGGGGCCCTGCAGGCCCTCAGGCATTGTGCTCACACTAATGGTTGCCTCCCTGCAACCACCCTAGGACACATGTCCTATTAGTGTCCGCATCAGAGGGAGGACACTGAGGCCCAGAGCTGGCCACTGAGCCGGCCCCAGGGTGTGCACTTTCCCTCCATGCTCCAGGGGGAGTGAGGGCTGGACGCAGCCGGGCAGTTGCAGGCTGCAGTCCTGGAGCCTGGCAGCCTCCAGGGAGCTGCAGAGCTGAGAGGACCCGGATGGCCTGGCTGGTGTCCACATTCCTCTGTGGCCCCATGGCTTTAAAAGGAGCAGGGTTTACTCAGAGCCCATGCCTGGCCTCCAGGGGCTGGTGCCAGGTCTGTCATCCTGAGTGGTCGTAGGAGGCCCGGGCCAGGAGGAGTCCCCAAGGGGCCTGGCTGGTTGGGGTGGATGGTGGGAACAGGCTGGACCCAGGGCTGGGGCTGGGATCTGACTCGGCTGGTGATGGGGATGCCTGCCTGGCTCAGCCCAGCCCAGCCCGGCCACCCTCTGCTTGCTGCTGACATCCCTTGGATGCCTGTCACCGGGCCCAAGCTCCTCCCCATATATGCCTGTCCCTCTCCTGCTGTACTCTGGGCTCAGCCTGGGCTCTGCAGTGGCCTGAGCAGGACTCCTGCCTTTGTGAGTGCCCCCCTGTGAAGCCAGGGGTGTGAGGGGCTCTGGGGGTCCTTCTCTTCGCAGCCCCTGATGACAGTCCACCCACCACACTCTTCAGCCTGGGCTGTGTCCTTGGTCCCCTGCCTGCCCCACCCTGATTCCTCCCGCCTCGTTCCTCCCCCAGCGGGACCCACCCCGGCTGCCAGCGCAGAGGCAGCCCTGAGGGGGCTGGTGCTGGGCTGCTCCCCACTCGCCTTACCTTGGCTGCAAGTGGGCTCGGTGCCTGTCCGGGGGGCAGCCTCCGCAGGCCAGCAGTGTGGCTCTGCTGGGGCACCTGTGGGGGCTGTCTTCCCCTGCTGACTGTGCTGTGGCTCCTGGGGCGAGAAGCCAGCGCCCTCTGCCACTCTCGCCAGGTCTTCTCCCTCTGTGGGGACATGAGGCCAGCTGTAGGCTATGGACTCCCCCACCCCACGGGCTCCCACTCGTCTGTCAGGCCCTGTGGGCCTCAGCTGTGCCCTGGGACACCTGGCAGGGGAGTGTGGCCCATGCAGGGACCCTGGGCTGAGGTGGCTCTCCCTCTCCACAGGAGTGGCCTGGGAACCAGCAGTGCCTCCTCTGACAGTTGCACGGCTGGGACCAGGTGGGCCTGACAGGAAACTGCTCACCAGCCAAGTAGATGCTGGTGGGGGCTGGCTCCCACCCTGATGGCTGTACACTTGACACGGCAGGGGCATGCCTGAGACTGCCTGGCCCCCAGACCCTGGAAAAACACCCGCATGTGGCTGTGAGAGATGGGCTCACGCGGGGTGGTGTCTATGCTCCCCTCCAGCTCAGGCAAGTGGCAATCAGAAACCAGGCCAGGCCACACCTTCCCTGGCACGAGGCAGCGACCGGGAACTGGCCTCAGTTATGCCAAGGACTGGATAGACAAAGGCTGCGCCTATGGCTGCTAGCCAGGCCGTTACTCAGCATCAGCCCTGTGCTTCCCAGGCCTCAGGCTCCATCTCAGGTCTCCTCGCAACTCCCTGCCTGCCTCCCTCCACCTCCTCACTGCGACCTTGCTGCGCCTGGCCCTGCCCCGCACTGGCCTGGCCAGCTCCTCTGCCAGGACACCCTCTACCCTCCCCAGCAGGGGGCACCGGCTCCCCTCCTTGGCCCGCAGGAGGGACAGCAGGACAGGCCTGGGTACCCCTAGCTGCGCCGCCTGGGGCTCCTGCCTGCTGGCTTCCAGGTCCAGACAGTCTGCCCCCGGCTGCCCAAAGCCTTGTCTTAAGCCCCGGCCCCTGTGACCACTCCCTCTCTTCCTTAGTGCCACCGCCTGGCCATCCACAGTCACAGCCTCTTCCCAGGTCAGCCGCAACGGCTGCTGCAAGGGTAAGTTCCTCAGCAGGCTCCTCCTGCTGCCCTCCCAGCCACCCCCCC